GAAACAGGGCCACAAGGCGAGAGTGGACGGAGTCAAGGATGCATGACAGCGACAAAAGATTCTTGCAGAGAGCCTGTCCAGGCTTCATGGGCTGAATAACCTCCTTAGGAATATCGAATGTCATAGCAGCAGTAGACCATTCAGCCCCTCGAGTCTGGTTTGCCATTCAATAAGATTGTGGCCTAAACTTCATTTTCCTGCCTACCCCAATAGCTTTGATTCCTTTGTCTATCAACCATGAATATCCCCTGCTTTCTGGAGAAGACGACACAACAAACTATTGGGATGTGTGGGGCAGTGGCCGAGAGGCAATGTCCAAAATCCCCAGGCTGTAGTTCCAAGGACGAAGGCTTAAATCTCACCACAATAGGGTGAATTCAATAAAAGAAAGGTTAACCTAACATCATTCCTGTAAGCATTGTCACAAAAACCCATCCGTCTCACGAATTCCCTTTAGAGAGGGAAACCTGTGATAAATGCTGCCTGGCCAGCAATGCTGACATCCCATGAACAAAGAAAAAAACTAATCATCCTCTGAAAGCAATCATTTTGCTTCATCTCCATCTTAAAACAGAGACATCTTAATCTTAACCAGGTCCCCTAGTTTAGCATCTGCTAGAAAAGAAAACATCATCCCAGTATCCATTGGCAAGTCCCTTCAGGAGCTTAATTGTTTCAATATGGTCACCTCTCATTCTTCTAAACTACAATGTGTACAGGCTTCATCTGTTTAACTTTTTTCAGAAGATAAGCTTTCACCTCAGCAATGAGCTGGGTAAACTTTCTCTGAAATGCTGCTAGTGCCACTAGAACCTTTTTCAAATGAAAAGCCCCAAATTTTACACAGTACTCCAGGTGAGGTCTCGCCAATTGCCAAACTGCAGTGAAATTTCCCTTTGAGACCATAAGTTGCAGGAACAGAAGCATTCAGTGGGATCATGGCTAATCTGGTAATCCTCAATTCCACTTCCCTGCCTTTTCTCAGTAACCCTTGATTGCCTTACAGACTGAAAATCTCAGCTTGAATATACAGCAATCTTTGTTTTAACCGGCACCTTATGAACTGGCACACTCGATAAACTGGCAAAAATTATATACCTAAATTACAGGAATCATAGAATCCCTACAGTGTGGAAACAGGCCCTTCGGCCCAACAAGTCCACACCGATCCTCAGAGCATCCCACCCAGACCCATCCCCCTATAATCCACCTAATCTACATGTCCCTGAACACTTTGGGCAATTTAGCACAGCCAATCCACCTAGCCTGCACATCTTTGGACTGTGGAAGGAAACCGGAGCACACGGAAGAAACCCACGCAGACACGGGGAGAATGTGCAAACTCCACACAGACAGTCGCCCAAGGGTGGAATCAAACTCAAGTCCCTGGCGCTGTGAGGCAGCAGTGCTAATCACTGAGCCACTGTACCACCCCTAGGAAAGTTTACTGTATTATCGTGATGTCCAAGTAGTCAGGTGAGGCTGTGAGTGAGAAGGCTCTCTGCCAGTAAGTTTTATTTAAGGCAAAGTACCTTTATTATTTAAGTGATTTATGCTGTAAATAAAGTATAACAGTGATGTGTATACCCCCTGCATCACGTTTCTATTACTTACTGTGTGTTGTTACACTGATTATGTGGATCTCTCGATCAATCAGAATATCTGATCATGTGGCACACTCCTAGTCCCATAGGAGGTAACAAGGTGTAGAGCTGGATGAACACAGCAGGCCAAGCAGCATCAGAGGAGCAGGAAAGCTGACGTTTCGGGTCTGGACCCTTCTTCAGACAAAAAAAGAAATAAAACGAGTCCCATAGGTGCTGGATAGCAAATGTTTGCTCCACTTAAAAACCTAGCGTCTATTGCCCTCTGCAGTAAAGAATTCCACAGATTCACTGCCCTCTGACAGAAGACATTCCTCTTCATTTGTGTTAAATGGGCAACCCTATACTCTGAGATTATGCCCTCTGCTCCTAGACTCTCCCACAAAGGGAATGCATCTCTGCATCTACCCTGACCCTACGTTCTATTCCTGTTGCAATAAACAACACTCCTATTTGTCTTCCTTATCACTTGCTATACCTGCATACCAAATCTTCATGATTCAATTACCAGGACACCCAGACGTCTCTAGACTGTCAAGTTCTGCAAGCGTTTTCCATTGACACCAAAATAGCTGGTGTAGTGGACAGTGAAGAAGATTATCTGAGTACAACAGGGATCTTGATCAGATTGGTCAATGGGCCGAGGAGTGGCAGATGGAGTTTTAGATAAATATGAAATGTTTAAGGCAAATGAGGGCAGGACTTATACAGTTAATAGTTGGGCCCTGGGGAGTGTTGCTAAATAAAGAGGCCTAAAACTGCAGGTGCATGGTCCTTGAAAGTGGAGTTGCAGATAGACAGGGTGGTGAAGAAAGTGTTTAGTACGCTTGCCTTCATTGGTCATAACTTTGCGTACAGGAGTTGCGATGTTATGTTGTGGCTGTACAGGACACTGGTGAGACCACTTTAAGAATACTACGTACAATTCTAGTCACCTTTTTTTTGGAAGGATGTTGTTAAACGTAAGATGGTGCAGAAAAGATTTACAAGGATGTTGCTGGGATTGGAGGGTTTGAGCTACAGGGAGAGGCTGAATAGGCTGGGGCTTTTTTTCCTGGAGTGTCAGAGACTGAGGGGTGATCTTTTAGAGGTTTATAAAATCATAAGGGGTATGGACAGCGTGAATAGCCAACGTATTTTCCCAGGATGGGGAGTCCAAAACGAGAGGGCATAGATTTAAAGTGAGAAAGGAATGATTTAAAAAGGACCTGAGGGGCAACATTTTCACACAAAGGCTGGTGTGCGTATGGAAAGAGCTGCCAGAGGAAGTGGTGGAGGCTGGTAAAAATTACAACATTTAAAAGGCATCTGGATGGGTATATGAAAAGGAAGGGTTTAGAGTATGGGCCAAATTCTGGCAAATGGGAGTAGGTCAGATTGGGATGCCTGGTCGGTGCAGACGAGTTGGACTGAAGGGTCCGTTTCTGCGCTATATGACTCCATGACTTTCTTATTCTTCATGCTAAAGTGGACAAGTGCACATTTCCTCACATTATGCTCCATTTGCCAATTTTTTTCCCACTCATTTAACTGACCCTTAAGTTCTTAGTTGTGTAGCACATATTCAAATAACAGTGAAAACCCATCTCCACCACATGTACTGGTTCCCTTTTATTAAACCATTTTTGTTGCATCCTCAAAGAGCTTTAAAAATATTAGTGAAGCACAATTTTCCTCTCACAAAGCCATTTTATCTCTGCCTGATCACATTATGATTTTCTAAGTATCTGCCTTAACAATGGATTCTAGCAAATTTTCTACGACAAATGTCAGGCTCACTGGCCTATAATTTTGTAGTTTCTGTCTGCCTCCTCTCTCACATAAAGCTGTTTCAGTTTCAATCCTTCTCGCCAAAAGCACTGTCTCTCCCAACAACATTTTATATGTTTCTCCCCAACATAAAAAAATCCCACAAAAACAGAAATTGCTAGAGGAACTCAGCAGGTCTGGCAGCATCTGTGGAGAGTAGGCAGAGTTAACATTTCAGGTCTACTGACCCTTCTTCAGAACTGATCGTAGCTAGGAAAAGTTGGTATATGCTGAAGGCAGGATGGGGGTGGAGGGGGTGGAGGGGATGGAGCCCAGAAAGACAGAAAACAATTGTTGGACAAAGGAATGGGTAAAAGTCAGCCTGGGAGAATCAATAGCAGCTAATGGGGACCATTAGTAGCTGACAATGGGTAGCAGCCTGCGTGATGACAAGGCCTGGTGTGTGGGGTTAGGGTAAAGATATGGAAGAAGGGGCTCAGGCCCTAAAATTATCGAACTCGATATTGAGTCAACAGGCTGCAAGGTCCCCAAGCAGAAAATGAGTTGCTGTATCCCACATTAGCCAATATTTTGTCTTCAAACCATTGAGCAAATTTTCAAATTGTCTTCACCACACATATACGAATCTATTCCTACAGTTACGACAGATGTCTGAAGAAGGACAGAGGCTCGAAAGCTTGTGTTTTCAAATAAACCTGTCAGAATATAACCTGGTGTCATATAATTTCTGACCTTGTCCACCCCAGTCCAACACCGGCACCTCCACATCATTTCATATGCTAGCAACTTTCCAGACACAGCACACAATAGCCACTCATTTCTGAAAAACGATTTTTTCTGTGTGCTTAAGTCTATTAATTTACTAGGCTTTACGGTTCTTCTAAAATATTACATTAATACCTATGGCTGTCCTATTGCCAATCTCTCCTTCACTGCATCACTAAAGTTTTAATAGTGTTGTGAATTCTGCTGTTTGTTCTGGCATAACTCCTGTGCTGAAAAAGAAAATGCTCATAACTTAACGGTGTGAAAATTAAGAGGAGGGAAAACGAATGAAAAGGTAGGAAAATCCTACAATGTGAAAATATTAGCTGTAATCTCTCATCTCACTTTTTGGAAATAATTTTAAAATAGTAATAGGGGATACTGTCATTCCCCATTCACTCAATCAAAGAGAGACTAAAACTGCAGCAAATCTCCCCTTGTCCTCGTCTGTTCCAGTGGTAATATCCTGGGCCCAATATGTAACCCTCAATCAAAATCACTCACAATCTGGTGGTCATTGTCACAGTGTGAATTTATGGGATCTTGCTGTGCGTAAATTGGCTGCTGCTTTAGGAATTTCTGAAGAAGGGTCTAGGCCCGAAACGTCAGCTTTCCTGCTCCTCTGATGCTGCTTGGCCTGCTGTGTTCATCCAGCTCTACACCTTGTTAGCTCTGCTGCTTTAGGACATCCTTTTCACACACACCATTTTCTTCTGCTCATAAAAGTCGAAAAAAAGCTCTGAAACACATTCACTTCTCTATCCTTAGGTTTTTTTTTCCTCTCCTGTTGTCATAGCAACAGCCAGAAGCTTCATCACTGACATCTTGAAATTCCAGGGCAAGGCGATGATTCCTCCAGAATCCCGGCGTGCCGCGTGGCCCGCCAGCCCTCCAGAGTACCGGCGTGCCGCGCACTGGCCGGTCCTCCGGCGTCCCGTCATGCCAGTGAACATGGCGACAACGAGGGAGGATGTGGGCGATGAGAAGGATAACCCAGCGGTGGAACTGGGAGCCACTCTGAGCCTGGAAAGTATCCTTTGTTGAGCTCGCTGCTGTGCCGGGTCGCGCCGTGAGAACCGCTGATTTCCGTCCTGATTCGGGGCCCGGAGAAGCCCCAGGGGAGAGCTGTCCCTGGAACAAGGATTACGTGTCAGTGCCCAGAGTGGGTTGGAGGCCCCGGGGGCAGAGGGACAGGGGGTGCTAGGAGGAGGAGAAAGGGTGAGCCGGTGAGGAGAGAAAGAGGTGGAGGTGGAAGTGGAGGTGGGGGTGAGCCGATGGGGAAAAGGATGAAGGGGGTATTCTTCCCCCCCCACCCCCAATTGGGGAAGCGGCAGGAGGGGGGGACCTGGTGAGGAAGTGGCGAAGGGGCGACCCGGTGGGGAAAGGGAGAGTTAGAGTATCCCGGTGGGTCGGGTGAAGGGGATGGCAAAAGTGGAACCAGATGGTGTGACAGAGGGTGGGTAAACCATGGAGGGAGTGCAGAGAGGTTGACCATTGGCAGGGACTTGGGGGTGGTTGGAAAGTGGCCTCTCTCCCTCAATTGTAGCCCTTGTACAAATGCCGCAGCAAGACCAGGTCAAATATGATTTCAAGAAAAAACTTTCCTGGCATACATTCCTTGGCACCATTCATTAATTTATATCGATTACTTTCAGCGTTTTGCTGCTTTTGAGTGAAGCAGCTAACACTTGTTATTCACATCTTATTTTCCTCAATGTCTGGATTCCAGTCCTGCAGATCATTAAGGACTCTCAGCAACAACATGGTTTGCGACATGAAGACTACCAAAGATACAGGTGGGTGGGTTATGATACTCTGATGTTTGCTGTTTGCAAACAGTATAGAGGTATCTGCAGGATATAGAAGTTGGCATTATGTTGTGTGACCAGTTATATCTATATGACACATTGGCACACCAGGGATCTATCATGTAAGGGAATGTCAGCCACAGTTTCCCACAGTGCAAATGGTATAGAACAATACCATGATGTTTATGCCCTCTTCCCCCAAATCGCCCAACTGTATTTTTGTTTGTGTGTGGTGGTGAGTTTACAGAGTAGCCTGATTCATATACTTTTACTACTTGAATAGCTAGATTTTGTGACAAAGAACTATGGAGCACATTCTCCACCGATGTATGTAGATAGACAAAGTTACTCAGTGTGAAGTGTGTATATCCTTCTCCAATGAAGGGTTCTCCCTCTGTTCCCTTTTCTGAAATTACATATTGAGATGGGAACTGACCATACATTACAGGTCAGTGTCTTCCCACTTAAACCAATATGCATCTCCCTCTTTCCAAAGCCAATTAAATTGCAGAAATTTAGGATCTTGCTAATTCACTTTGTTTGATAAGCAGCCCAAAGACACACTCAAACTTAGGAGGTATCGTGGGAAGTGCCAACACTTAGAACCAGTGATCTTTATTTGCATAGAATGGTAGAATCCCTACAATACAGAAAGAAGCTATTCAGCCAAAGTATTTTCATACTTTGTGCTACTCTTTCACAATCCTTTTATGTTTTAGGATGATCGTTGATTTCTCCCTGTAAATGGAAATCTCATGGCCAAAACCTGATTAAGTTATGAAGGTATATGACCAAAGACAGATAAATGCAGTTGAGGCACAGATCAACCATGATCTGACTGGTGGAATTGATTTGAGAGGCTGATTGGTCTGAGCAGATAAACATTTTGAGTACCTTCTGAGTTGAACCTAAATGCTATTTTTAAACTAGAATTGAGCAAAGATTTTCTTTATGCTGAAGACCAAAGGCTTTCTCAGCTTTCCTCACTTCGTTTGAAAAGCCCCTGCTTCCTCCATTAATCTACTTGGGCTTTTGGCTTACACCATGCTTTACCTTCATCACTTGCAAACTTTTACCACCAATCCTCTCGTGGATAGGCATATTTTTTGCCTTTGTGTACATGTGCATACAATTCTCTGTATTTAGCCACGTACAGCCCGGTCTCATTCAATGTGCTTTAACCTTGAGGCTGTTAATTTTTGGAGGTGTTGAGGGCAATGATGATGTGTCATCTATTAATTGGGATATACCATTGTATTTCAACAATCCAGTCATAAAACTGTTTTTCTTCCCTACAGCTAACTTTTGAAATGTGGGGAAATTGGCTGGAGTCAAAAACCCGTGTAAATATGTATGAGAGTGGGGATTGAATAGTTGTCAAAAACCTGACACAGACTGGATGGGCTGTGTGACTTTGTTCTATGCTGTGAGTTAATGGTGGATCAGTTATTGGCCCCTCTTCTACCCCTGGAGGTGTTGTGGTTATTCTCCATTGTTGTGTATGCACATCTGCATTAGTGTTGTGGTAGGTTATTTGGCAGCAGCTCCTGTATCATTTATGGATTTATGCTGGAGGGCTGGCTGTGTCTTCACTAACTGTTTCTCTGTGCTTGGCTGTAGGGGTTACTGTTCGCGCAGACTCCGCCGCCTCAGGAAGGCACTTGGCTTTAAAATGGGAAACAAACATAAGTTCACAGGCAAGAAGGTCACCACGGAAATTCTGTCAGATAACAGGTAAGAAACTGTAAAACTATCATCCTTGATTTCATTGCCAATAGACGGGTATCCATAAAAAGCTAGAGTCTGGGCCGGGCTGGAGGGAACCGTTGGCTGCATAGTTTTTATTGTTGGTGGCTCTCGGTGAATAACCTGAGATGCTTCCAATCTCCTCCTCAATTTCCATGTGAGACACTATGGTCAGGTACGTCCAACTCTGCTGAGATAGAATGGAGCTAATTTAATACTTCATATGTCCGATACACGAGCACTTCTGCACAAATACAGTTGTTTGAAATGAATTAAAAAGCACTGTCTACAGAGATATTGTTATTCCAGAGCAAGGAAGTATTTACTGTTTTATAAGGAGCTGTGCAGAATAAACTGTTGTGTGGCTATACTATGCTGTTGCTGGAATTTAATGCAAGCTGGCAGAACACATTCCCCTAGTTTCACCTGCTTGTTTCTAGAGAGTTACTAGGAGTCCTAGTACTTAACACTGCCACCAGCGAATTTCCACCATGTCTGCTGCAAAGTAACCAGTAATACAGCTGATGGAAAAATACTGATCAGAAGTCATTGCCCAAACAAAATTTCTAATTGTTTTAAACACAGTGGGTAAAGTAACCTAATGGGGACTGAGGTTTTGATGTAGGGTTTATGCATTGCTAAGGTAGCAGAGCTGAGAAAAATAATTATCTTTCCCAAATCTCTGAGCAAGGGGGAAGAAAGCATATTGAGTAAAACAACTTGTTTCAGAGATAGTAGGAACTGCAGATGCTGGAGAATCTGAGATAACAAGGTGTAGAGCTGGATGAACACAGCAGGCCAAGCAGCATCAG